ATGTCCTTTGTTTCACTTAATAGATGATAATACACTGGTAGTATAGCAGGATCGTTACGGTCTTTAACTATCAGATGGTACTAGTCTGGGTATGGCTCCCCTAACATTCTCTGATTTATAGTCCACCCAGAATTATTATCTTCACAATAGGCCATTTCTTTTCCTGTACTTAATTTATAATATACAATCCAACCAACACAATCCAACTCACCACAATAGCAAACAATCAATCTCATTTTACATCACATATCAATCAGTGTAGTGTAACCATACAGAGCTAGAATCTTTGCTCTGATACCAAAAAGTGTAACACCTTACTTTTACCTCTCAAAGTCTGCGTTCAAAAGCGAATTAGGTAAGTGAAAGCTTACTTCAGCCCAAAAATTGAAACATTTTTAGTTTTCAGTCCAGGTTACAACTTGGTACTTCCATGTAAAAATTGAAACATTTTTAGTTTTCAGTCCAGGTTACAACTTGGTACTTCCATGTCGTGACTTAAGGTCAGAGGCAACCTTTGTTGCCAAGTTGTGACTTAGGATCCCTCGGTCATGACTTGGGATCACAGAGAGCCCTCGGGTACTATTTATTATTCATAAAAATATTAGGCCAACTTTGAAAATTTATAACAAAATATAGAAAAATCAAAATGAGGTAGTTCTAATTTCTATTTGAAGCTTGTCATGCTTTCTATAGGAAAAAAATACTCATTGGCATCATATCATTATGAAACAGAGCCAAAAATTTGCCAAGTTGCATTGTTCATATAGTCATTTTCTAATTTTCTAGTATTTTAGCCCAATTTTGAAAGGGCATATTTGTTAGAACAAAACTTTAAATTTGGTGATCTACCACTTGATTCAAAGCTAAAAATGACATCTATAAGTCTGCTAAATTTCAAGTCCAAATTCTCCCATTTGCTTATTATTTCATATGTCTCAAAACTACCCTTTTTAGGACATTTTTATCTTCTAATTCAATTTTCTCCCATTTCCTTTTCTCTTTTCCATATACCATCCATTCAAACACACCAAACCATGATTATAAACAACTATTCAACATTATAAAATTACAGAATTCCAAGGTATATCATATCCTTAACTCATATATCAATGTTCATCAAAATATGACATAAACTTTATACAATGTCATAAAAGTCACTTGGCCTCCTTAGCTCAATACCAACTCCTTGCCTTTATCCATACTCGATCTACTCCCTATTAATGCATAATATGACATAGGAGGGAATGAGATTTCATGAAAATTTCAGTAGCAATGAACTATAGTTATCATGTAAATCAAGTAATACATAATATGATATGTTATAGAACTTCAGGGCATCCTTAAGTCATATAAAATAATACTATGCATCATATCAAGAGAGGAAACATTCACACTTTCACATTGACATATTACTATGCATATGGCCAAAGCATATCAAATGTCATAAAATCAAAAATTGCCATAACACAATTTCCTCAATTTAAGCAATCAACATAAACACATTAAACAAGCAAGATAAACAATTAAATTATGATTCAATGCTACCTTTGGTGCTTAATACAATTCAGCCTCTTCAAGTGATTAAGGCTCCCGTTGATTTTTCTCCACAATGCCTATCAATCCAAGCATAATTACAAGTTACATTAACAATTATTAACTTAAACACTAATATTTAACCCTAAAATAATTAGAATCCCATGAAACAATTTTTCTCCAAATCATGAAAATCAGTTTATGAATAGGGATTATGCAAAAAATTTTTGATTCCAATGATATTTTTCTTGGTGTTTGATTCCAATGAAAAACAAACACAAAAACACCTTTTTATCAAATCACATCAAAACAAACTCCTACATCAAGATCTCTTCTTGACTGAATTGAAACATATTAAACCCTAACTTAGTTTGCTTCTAAAAATCAATCCAAACACCACTTAAACATAATAATTCCAACTCATTTTTAAGGTTTCTATTCTTCCCTAAAGCATAGACATTTTACCCAAATAATGGCAGCATTTTCCCCTTGAATTTTAATTCAAATATTCAACCAAAACAAGCTTTAATCTTAACTAAACCAAAGCTCAAACATACCTTGATGAAAACTAAAACTTGATGATTCCTTATCCAAATGCACTCACTAAGTTTAGTTTTGAAGCTCAAGAAAACAACTTGACAGAACCTCCTCTCTTTTGTCAATTTTTCACCTATTTTTATGTATTTTAGGAGGGTATTTAAAGGCAAAGTTTCTGTCCCCCTCATCTTGGCATGTTGGAGTGCCACATAAGAGGGACACATTGTTGCCATCACAAGCTGCAATTTTCAAATCATGCCAAGTGTGTTTTGCCTAAAATAATCCAAGATATTTATGTTTAATTGGGCTTTAATATTGGGCATAGAATTTTACGTGAATTTTGGGCCTTTTTCTAGCCCAATTTGGGGTCCACTCATGGTCTAAGATGACCAAAAAAGATGGCTTACAAATTAGATCACCATCCCAAACCACCTTGAAGTTTTATTGGTTACTATTTGCTTGTAACTTTTCATAATTTTTCTAGACCTCCAAAATCACATTTTTCTCCATAAAAAATCCTCTTATAATATAAGGATATGACCTGAAAATTTTCAGAATTTTTCTCCATCTCTAACTATTTATTTTGAATTCTTCCTGGATAGGCCTTTATTAGTAAGACTGTGAGAAATAAATTCCCAGAAATAATTTCCTATACTTCCAAGGTCCAAAATCAATTTTATAAATTTCCATAAATAATTAGATAATTATTTAATATTTTTATCAGAATTATTGAGGCCTCTAAATATTTAAAATAATTATTTTTCTCTAATTTTCAACTATTTTCATGAAAAACCTCCGTTTTCAGGAAATTCGGTAATAGTTTATTTTTACATTGATTTTGAGGTTACAAAATTTCTAATTTACCTTCTTACCATTTTTTGGAATTTTTCTAGAATTTTTCCCATTTTACCCTTCCTATTTTGCTCTTCCTATCAAGGTTTCACATCAAAAGTTGTTTTATCCCTTTGTTTGCTTTCTATATTGGCCCTCATTCAAATTTTTAACTTCCTATATTTAAATAAAAATTTCAAGATGTGACATATAGTGACCGCAAAATCTAAAATCCAACTAGCATAAGATACATTATGAGGGTTAGAAATAGCCAAACCTATACCAGTTAGGGCATTAACAGTGGTCTCTGACTCCTTTAGAAGTAATTCTAAGATTTTTGGGTACTATTCATTTGTGGAGGTTGGTCCGACATACGTTGCTTTGTTGGCATGTGGACATGAGATAAGTTAGTACTAGATTGATTCAACTCCTTACCTTGCTTACCTTTGTTTCCTCTAAAATTTAAAGGGTAACCAATTATTTGTTAACAATTCTCTTTGAGATACCCCTTTTTGCCACGATAATTGCATTCAAGCGTGCTTTCCCTATGTCTTTTACCTTTGCCGCCGCCACGTCCTCTGGCAACCATCATAATTTCTTCTCCTGGTGGAGGCTTGTCGCTGCTGGCAATTGATCTTTGGGTCTCGTCCTAAATGATCATAGCGCGTATGCTTCATTAACTCTAGGGAGTAGATCATTAGAATGATCTAGCTCTTAGCTTGATGATAGGATTCATTAAATCCCATCAAGAACTATAGAAGTTTTTGTTCCTGAATGACCTTGGCATAGGTTCTAGACATTTCACATGTACAGGAGGAAAGAGTGACTAATGCCAATTAATTTTTTTTGAAAGTTCCTTCAATTTTGAGAAATAGGCAGAAACTGAAAGAGATCCATGTCTAAGGAAAGTAACTTCATGGTGGAGAGCAAATATCTGAGCTCTATTCTTCTTATTGAATCTTTCTTTGAGTTCCATCCACATGTGATACGCATTCTGAAAGAATATGACTCTATTTGCGAGTTTTTTTTCGAAATGGAGTTCAAAATCCAAGAGAGCGCAACCGTGTTATATCATTCCCATTGATCATGCAATACCTTATCTTGTGCCTCTTTCTTGCAAGTTCTAGTAATGAATCCGAGTTTGTTCTTCCCCATCAGTGTGATTTTCATCACCCTACTCCATATTGTGTAATTTTTGGTGCCATTGAGAAGAATGTGATGGATGATTGAAGCACCTTGGGTGTCCGATGGATGGATCTACAATGGGCAAGAGGAAGACAAGCTCTCTGCGGCAAAATTTTCTTCTCCTATTACGGTTTGCTGGCTAAACGTAGAAAATGAATGGACTATGGGATTCTGATCAAAATTGAGGGAAAACCCTTAGTTTTGGTACCATGAAAAATACCAAGCGCTAAACCTATTCCTATACACTCTATGATGGAATAATGGGGATCTTCTCATTACTGAAACAAAAACAATACAACTCTATGGACCTCAATTACAACCAAAGGCCTAAGGTTTATAGAGTAAAACAAAAAATGCAACAAAAAAAAAAGAACCTAAAGCCGTACTGGGCAATATGACATCACCCACTAACAACTGTACAGATAAACGTTTAATATCACAACAAAATAATAATCCCCTATTTCCAACAAAATCCTAATATTTATTATAAAAAATTTTAATTATAAATCTTCTTAATTAATCGATTTTCAACAGCAATTTTGTCATTGGTATTTAAAGCCAGCATTGATTCAAAACGATTGAATTATACTTGCTTTCTATTTAAATTATAGGAGTAATATTGTGAATATTATATTATTATATCTATTTGTCATCTATGCAAATAACTCGGCGAGAGCGTCGTTACGTTGGGTGTTCGATTTCCCTGTCGCTAGGAAAGAGAGACAAAACGACAACGTAGAAACCATTCATTCATGAGCGCAAAACGTAACCGAAACTTCGGTCCCAAATTTCACGTCCCCACACTCAATAACGACTTTTCTCGGACGACTCTTTTGATTATCCTCATTTCCTCAGCAATTCCAACGGATTCTTCCCTTTCTCGGCCCCTCCATCTTCACGATCAGCTTCTGCAAATGTCGTTGTCGGATTCCGAGACAACTCAAGGTGGATCATCCGAATATAGACCTTTTCGCCAAATTAGCCGTGACAGTAAGCACTATTGTCTTTCGTTTTGAGGAGGATCTTGTTTTCTGTTATTTATCCATTTGTTTCTCCGAACAAATAGGTTGAGAAGAATTTCAATAAGGAAAATCTTGACACAGAGCAGTTTTTCTGGGGGCTTGATTGAATTTAATTTGTTTTTACATAATTGAGCTACGAAGCTGAGCTTGGTGTGGATGTATTCCTTTCAATTTTGAGGTTGCCAAGTCTTTATTTTAGAAAACGGTTGTATTTTTTTAAGTTTTTCCTATATTCCTTTAACCTGGGATATATATATATATATATATATATATATAGAATCTTTTGGATTTTGGAATACAAACTGCTATGGCGAATTGATAGTGTTGGCTTTAGGAGACACTTAGTTTTCAGAAAATGTAATAACACTAAATATATTTGAAAGATTCGACTATTTGAATCTTTTTAATTTTTTTTGGCTTCCATCATTTTCTCACCCTTTATTATGGATAAGTATTTGACTTCTACGACTCAATGCGGGAGACATAACATTAGTTACTTTCTTCTTAAATATATTTTGTAATATTTTTCATGTTTGGCTGCATGTAGGGTTATTGTTTGAAATGCTTGGAGCAGCAAAGTCAGGGGATTCTAAATCATGGAAGGTGAGTGATTGAAGCGGTCACAGTTTACGATGTTGTTCTGGAGCTTGTTAATTTTTCCTTACTTAACTACGATAATTTCTTTCTAAAGAACGTTGCTTTAGTTAATTTCATATATTGTTTGTTTTAATTCACCATTTCTAGTGATGATTGACGAACTTCTAGAGCATTGTTACCTATTTAGCCAATTATATTTGCTTTACTTTTGGGAGCACATTCTAATCACAAAGATAAGCATGGAATACTGATCTTAATCTTGATCTATTCAAAATTGATTTTTGATCTTCTAGGTTCAATTTAATTTTTTTATATTTTTATATAATTTTTTCATGTTAATAGATTCAGAATTGAAAATAAAAATAATCTTATAGCTAACACATCTTAAAAAAATAAATTTATTATAATGATGAGTATGGAATGAGGACCCTTAGTTTTACCCATAAAACGTATAGTTTAAATAATGCAAGTTTGTTGTTTCTTCTGTTACTAGGATTGTTTTAAATATTATGATAAAGAGCATAGGCGAAAGGGGTTTTTACAGATAATCATAAAGGTGGAGCCAAATCCTCTCTATTCATTTATCATATATTTTCTGTATATTGACTTGCAAACTAATTCTTTAGTCCTATTCTAAAGTGAAAGTTATAAAATTATTCAATAGCAAGACATGTTTTCTAGCCATAAAGTCTATATAAAAGCCTAATTTTGTGAATTGTAGTCCATGGTTGTGAGAATGTTTCAGTTACATTCTTTGTGTGTTGCCAATGTTATACACTAAAATACCCAAGTAACTTGGATTTAAGAAAAGGCTGGCAAATTGCCTTTAAAAAACAAGGACGAAAAGTAAGTAAACTGATGACCTTTACCTTCACAAACTAATTTTGTACAAACTCAAAAATGTTTATGAAGACTTCCTTACTAATCTTTTTGATGCCATTGCTAAGTAGCTCTTTTGTTGACGTTATTGTTGCCTGTGTGAAAGGATTAGCGTGCTTTTATGAGTAGAAGGTTTACCCTTTTTTCTTTTTCATATGTTTAGTTTCGTTAACTGTTTTAGAAGCATCACTCATCTTCCACTGATTCGTCCTTTTTCGTTAATTTTTTCCCCATTTTAATGGTTAAGATTAACAACTTTAAATGAATGTGGTGTCATATTTATATTTGTTGAAGTGCGTTAGGTTATTCCAACCATGGTTATCGTCACCTATTCTTAAGTTCTTTTTAAGTTTAATCATTTAATGCTTATTAGGCCCAATATGATTTGGCAATATCAAAAAATTAGGAGTATTTTTTTTCGGTAACAAAAAACTATACTCATGTTTCTTGATTATTGGATTTTCATGGTGTCAAAGCCTTTTAGTCATGAAAATTTTCATGGCGTCAGAGCCTTCAATAACCATTGCGATCATTTCCCTTGTTCCACTCTTTGCTAATCTTATGACAATTTGATAAAACTTCCTTTAAGCCCATTAGTTTTTTTTAAATAAAAAATAACTCTAGATACCTCTCTTCATCTTAATTACGTAGATTGTATTCCACCCATACAATTTTCCATCAATTTCACTATCTTTTTGTGTAATCAATCTTGTATAACTGAACTTTGCCAATTATGAAATGATAGGTCCCTCATTTTTGTCTCCAAATCATTTCTAATTTGCTTCTTATTGAACCTGTATATATTCTGTCTTATTCCTACTCCGGTGAAAACCCTTTAATTTCAAGGTCCTTCGCTATAACTCAAGTTACTATCCTCTCTTGACTTCACAATAATGACTGTATCATTTACCAAAAAAAAAAAAGCATTTGGTAATATCCTCTAGGACATTCTTAATTAGAACATCTAAAACTATATCAAATAAGTAATGGCTTAAACATGAACTAAATGTATACCAATCCTTATAAGGAAGTCTTTTGTTTTACCACTAATGTTCTTATACTAGTTGTTACCTATTTATACATATCTTGTTTTGCTTTGATATATATGCCTCGTGACAGGAATGCATAAGCAATGTCATTTCCTAAAGCACAATTTAGAGATTTTATCAAAAAGAGAATGATTTTTTTTATCGTGGTTCTTAGTTTCTGAGTTACATTTGAATTTCAATCAAGATGGCTTGTAAGGAGATAGAGGGTTAAATGGAGATTATTTAAGTTTCATAAATTCTCTTAAATATGCTTTTACAAGTTTTAGTTGTTTTATAGTTTGATGCAACTTATGATGATGTTCTATATGTCTAAATTTTTTTGGCTCCATTATAAGATTTTAAAACTATTCAGCATTAAAACTTTTAGGGATATGAAGCTAATATTCTTATACGTTGGGATAGTAACCTATACATCTTTCTCTAGACAGATTTAACTACTTAAGTTTATTCATGCATCTGTCATGAATAAGTCAATCTTAACTTGCCTTCTTTTTATTATTTCTTAGAGTTAACTATCAGTAAATTTTAGGTTGATAGTAATCCACGTTAGCAACTAATTTTCACAGGTGCTCATAATGGATAAAGTCACATTGAAAGTTATGTCACATTCATGTAAAATGGCAGATATCACCGACCAAGAAATTTCATGTAAGCATTTTGAGTTTGCTTTTATTTTTATTATCATTATTATTCTTTTTGTTTTTCTTCTATTGGAACCTATTAAGTTTAGCTGATGATGCTAAAATTAGTTTTAATGAAGTGGATATCTTAGGCCTTTCTTAGGAAAAACTGACACTCATGAAATGGTGAATCAACCTTTTTGAAGCTTTTAAGAAATTAGTTGCTTCAAAGTTCAGTATTACTGCTACTTACTTTGTAGTGCTTTTTATTATTCTATATTGCTTGACCCCCAAAAACTCTTTTGCACTAACTTTCTACTTTAAGCTACATTGTAAGTTCATTTCTTTGGATATTGTTCTAATATTTGTTACAAACTACTTGACTTCTTATTGCAGTGGTAGAAGACGTTTTCAAGAGAAGGCAACCACTACCGTCTATGGATGTTGTTTATTTCATGCAGCCAATAAAAGAGAAGTAATTTTGTTTTTTCTTTATCAATAACTATACACTTTATTTTAAAGTCATAAAGTGCCATATGAGTTATGCAAAACATTACTCCTTTAATTTTATTTACGGGTAGCGAAAAAGTTTTCATATGAATGTATAATTTTAACCTTCATTTATTATTTTGTTGATTTTGTTCTCATAAGGTATATTGTATATTAAATAGGGATAAAGTTGAAAAGTTGTTAAATTTTAAATGAGAGTTAATAAAGTTAAAGTTTTCTTGGTCTGTGAGAAATGCGTTAGAAGTAACTTATAAATAGAACTAATAGGGTATTAACCAATTTGCTTTATCATAATTACCGTTGTAGTGGAGACCAACTACTAGAAGGTTGATAAGGCTATTTACAGGTAGTAGATCAAAGAATTGTGGGACCTATTATTTGTCTAGAGGGATATCTTGGGAAGTGCGAGTTGCTTAAGTTTTAAAGATGATAAATAAGTGAGTATATGTGTTTATTACTTTTCTTTGCTTTCCTTTAGACTGGATTATAGTTGTGACAAGATCCTAGATTTAAATTAAGTATGGATTAAAGCAATATAAAGTATTTAGTAAGGTTTTATACAATTAAAAAAGTGTAATGTTATTTTTTAGTAGGTATTATGAATTAATAAAGGTCTTGTGGTTTAAGAAAGAGTTACTTGTAGCAAGAGAAAAGTAAAAGGCATGTAAATTGAAGGAAAAGAAAAAGAAGTGTTCAATTTCTTAGACAGCCTTAACATCTAGAGAATTTTTTATTAAATATATTCTACCTCTCACCAAACTAACTAACTTTCTCTCAAAGTAACTAATCCATTGTTTGTTAGATAATTTCATTTATTTGTAACAAGAAAAGCCACTCCTATTCGTCACATTATTAGATGAGTCAGCAACAAGATAAGGCAAGTGACTAGGAAGAGGGATAACATAAATTGCCTCAAAAGGAGTCATATTTATAGTTGAGTGGTGATTAGTGTTATACCATAACTTAATTAGAGGAAACTACTTGGCCCATTGCCTTGGAAGTTATCTTTGAAAGTAGAGTTTTGACTCACCTACTCTATTACCTTACACCGCTTAATAATCCATAGATTACTCTCGTTGACCATTATTTTGCCTTTGTTTTTCGCATTCGAAGCTTCAACTTGTTGAATTTTATTGGCCATTATGAGCTAGAGAGTGGCTTTGAGATTCTTTATTTCATCAGGAATCTTAATAGTATGCTTAGAGATGATGGTGGATATAGAACCACTAAGATTTAACAAGAAGAATAGGGGATTGGGTCAAACTAGACAAATTTACTGCAAATGTGGAAAAATGATTGTTTATTAGACGAGAGAGGTATTATGAATAATGAATTATTGGGGTGAGTATCAGAGTATAAAGGAGGTGACATATGTATTCACTTGGTATAGGAAACTAATCTTTGAAAAGCTACCTAGAATATGTGTACTACCATTTCTTGATTTTAGGATGCGAAAGAGCCATGTTAAAGGACTTGTTGGCAAATTGATTAATAGATATAAAAGGATGCAGAGATAATAACCTATAACCACTTGAATTGAAAATTACCTAAGAGTTTGAAAGGGTGATTGAGATTGATGATGGAGAGTGGGTCTAAAGAGAGAAACATGACAAGATTTAAGTTGGATCTACCTTTATTCTATGAAGAAGAGCCACCTAGATGGATTTTTCATGTACAGAGATACTTCAAGAATGTGAAGTTTCTTAAAAGAAGAAAATATATGTTATTCCATGTTCCATAACGGTGCTATGCTACATTGATAGTCCTTAAAGCATCTTCAAAAACTTAATAGATGATAGAACATGGTTTTTGCTTGTAGAAAATGAGATTTGTGAAGTCTCATTTTTTTCAACTGTAGTTATCCCCTTTATAGCTTGTGTTCCGCTTACAAAATCCTTAATGTATGCTTTCAAAGAGAGCTTTTTTAGAAAAAATGGCACTCATAATGACCTATGGTAAGATACTAGCCCATGAAACTTTATAGAGGATGTTTAGTGTAACTTTTGTAACTTTTCCTCAAACTGATAGATAAATCCAAAGATTCATGAGAACTAGAAAATTAGGGTTCACCCATAATGTTCACCCACCTTGAATGGTCTTGCAAAAAGGGTTGTTTTTGCTTGCTAAGGGCTATTGAGAAAATATTTTAAGGACAAAATTGTACTTTAACCCTCTTACTAATTCAATAGGTTTTAAATGGAACATGTTCAAGTTTTTGTAATTTTTAGCTCCAAGGCAAGTGTTGAGAGGATGAAAATAATCCCTTAATTTTAATATCTCCTATGTTTATCTCTTGGAGTTTTTATTGTAATTGAACTGTTTTTCCCAAATATTTTGAAAGTGGATGACTATAAAGGGATAAAGTACATATATAGAGTGCTCCACTACTATTCTTGCTTATTATGATGCTTTAATATAAAGTATGTATAGAAGTATTTTGGCATCTATTATTGTCACAGTTGAAACAAACCATATTCTAAGTATCCAAATTTTGTCTCATTTCTATCGGTATATTCTTGTTGAAAAGTGTTTTTTCCCAATGAAATTTATTTTAGTTTCAAATCTAGAAAATCGGTTGGCTTTGTATTATATTATTTTACCTAGCTTCATTATTTATGTTGAACTTTTTTATAAAAAAAAAAAACATATTCAACTTGCAATCTTTTACATCCTTATTGACCTTTCTTTTTTTAGCATGCAGTCTTATCATGTTAATGTCAGACATGTCTGGAAGGGAGCCCTTGTATAGGAAGTATGCAGAAAATTCTGGTTTTTTCCGCCCAATTTGCTGTTATATATCTTTTGTAAGCTTTAACTATGGGGGTAGCCTTGATTTCCTTCTCTCTTTCATTTTTCTTTCTTTCCTTTTCTTTTCCTTGGCAGAGCATATATTTTTTTTAGCTCAACAGTTCCAAGGGAATTTATAAAACACATTCAATGTGATACAAGTGTCTTACCCCGCATAGGTGCATTGAGAGAGGTTAATATATCTTTTCTCCTTTTAATAGAGTTATAAGCATTTAATAGCCTTCACAACCTTTTTTCTGAGGATGGTTTTACTTTAATTTTGTAGATGAATTTGGAATACTTTCCAGTAGATAACCAGGTATGTAATAAAAAAAGCTGTTCCTTTCTTTCCATTGATGGCAATATTTATTTGTTGTTATGTCATGTTGACCAATTTGTTACGCAATGATTAGGAGAGTAGTCTATAACCTTTCTAATATAAAATCTCCAAAATTATAAATCCTTTATAAAATTTTATAAGCTATCCAAAAAGTAAGTTATAGTATAGATAAACTTATACTTTTATATTTTATTATGTAACAAATGAAATTTTAATTTTTCTTCATATTACTTATGTAACTTTAACCTTGGTAGAATTTCAATGGGACTTGAAGTTGTTAAGCCATCAAGGCTAATTTAATTTAATGCATGATTCAGCAATAAGTCAATAAAAATGAATTGGAAGACACAAAAATTTAACAAACATGCGTAGAATATGCTTTACAAATTTAGAGTTAGAGTTAGCTACAATCAATTTAGAGTGAATTAGAAAGTCATGGCCATAACTTAGTTATTTCCAATTGAGTTGTCTCTAAATGGCCCTTTGTAATGTTATTTTTCATACAACAAAGTTTAAGTGGTCTTAGGGGCTCACTCAGGCTAAGACATGCCTTTAGGCTCAAAGAATGCTTACAGAGGCATTTATATAGATTACCCACCAACAATGTCTCCATATCGATGGTAAGATTTGAAATAACAACCTTGTTAATTATAAGCCAGCTCGTTACCAACTAGACAAACTTTTATTGCCTAAATAGCCATCATGATTTGTTGTTGTAACATTGCTTGCTTACCATTTCCATACACCTAGTTCTAGCCCAATCTACATTGTTATAAATGTCAACACTTTCGTCACTTTCCTTTATAAACCAAGTGACATGTCATCAGACTATTAAATCAAATGCCTACACATCACTTCATAATCCTTGATATTTGTATTGTAGCTTGATTTGTATGCTAACAATGACTAGACTCCTTCAAATTAGGTTATTGATTCTAGTTCAACAACATCATTTGAAGAACATGCACGAATTTTGAGGTAAAAAACAATAGTTTTTTTTTCTTATGATAGAGCCACATTCACATTGTTGTTCTTCTCATTTTAGGCTAACCAAGATTTCTAGCAAACTTCTCTTATGTTTTTAACTTTATCACAACGTTTGCGGTTAGTTCCATGTCCTATTAGCCATCTTTTGAGCATATATTTTCTATTTGTAGTTCCTTTTGATGCTAGATCTATTTGACTCATGATCATGAGGCTGATGGGGGACCCCAAACACTAGTTTCTTTCAATTTTCTTCTTGCTTGATTGCTATATGTACCTTTCTAAGGTTTTGGGAGGTGTTTATTAGGTTCTTTTCTTTCATGTAATATCATTGAAGGTTGAATTGAAACCTGGTAAAAATTTGTAGTTTGTCTTCTATTCTTGACTATAATTACAATAAGTATCATCTGTGGGGCACAACTATTCATGTGCTTCAAATAAGTAAGTTGTCACTAATGCTAATGACGGTCAAGTGTATCATAGAATTGAATTATGCTTATAGTACTTTATTCAAAGTAATGTAGGAGGCCTTTGATATACAAGGCTGCTTCATTCCTTAAGGATAAAAATGCCTTCTTTCTAGCCTCTCTAACCTCATGATGCTTTAGACTATCTCAAAGTTGTCATCAAGTTTATGACCTGTACCATTCTATTATCAGGATCCCACTCCTTGAATTTTGAGTCACCACTACCGAGTTGCCGGGTTGATCTTTTGAGACATTTGTATTTTCTTCTACCTTTAGTAAAGAGTTTCAAACTTGGTAACCACTACAGGTAGTTCTATCCATTGAGGTGATAAGTTGGTTTTACCTTTTCTCAAGGAGCCCCAATCATTTTGGTCCTCTAAGTTTAGAACAATCTCAAACTTGAAATCATAGCTTCACCATATTGGAGGCTAAATTTTAAGCTTAGGTGTTTTATAACAATACTCCTTTGTGTTAATCATCATTGACATAAAGATGCAATTATATATATGGGTATATATATATTCACATTCTCGAGATACTACAATAAAGCCTAGAAAATGAGGGTATAAGAGTAAAGTACATTGATCTCCTTTTTAGTTTACCTTAATTACAAAGACATCTATTGTATTTTTAAAATGTGTATATAAACCTTCCTTGAAATCAAAAGTTACATGACACTTACCTTCCCTCTATTATGAAGATTTTATTTACGGCCATCTATTATTGGCCCATTAAATAAAATATACTGGACCAAAAATTGACTATTTTTGATAGAAATATTATTTAAATATTAGTTAGGTTACCCAACAAGGAATTTTAACGCATATATTTTAGAAATTATTTTATCATATTTTAAATTTTATTTATGTGTTATGGCCTTATGGCATGAAGCTATCTTGTAAATAGGAGGTTGTGGGTTCAATCCCACTTGCAACCTCAAACCTTTAATGCCTATCCTTTTAAGTGAAATAAATTTTATTTTGCAAACTTATATATTTACTAACTCTATAAAGTTTAAATACATAATAAGTTGGCTGAAAATAATATTTCAAGCACATCTACAATCCATGATGACTATAATGAGTTAAGAATTCAATATAATGATTAACGAGGAATAATTGGTAATTATAATTTATATTCATTTCACTTTATATTTTATTATTTTAATATATAACATTTTTAAAACATTTATTTAAATATTTCCATATTTAGTTATTTTGATATCTTCAAATTATAGAGAGTGAGAGATTGTAGACAATTAAATTATGATGGAAAATCAGTAATTTTAAAATTTTTAACATAGTTTTAATTGGGACAATATTTACATCAAGTTGCTTATATCCATTATATGAAACTCTCCAATCACATATGACCATATGTCATTTTTTTGAAATATTGGCATTTAATAGCATTTAATTATAGATCCATATGAAACCAAAAAGGACACATGGCTATGTGTGAATAGAGAACGTGACATATTATATATAAGTAACTTGACCTAATTAATACAAAACAACAATTGAGACTCTCTAATAGAACAGAGTATTTGTTAATTTGGTATATAAAATGGACTAAAATATAGGTTTTCAAAACAAAAGGGAAATTTATATAATGTTTGTAAAACTGAAGGGAGATCAATATAATTTACTCAACATATAAATTCCACAAGGATAAGGTAAAACTAATAACATATGGCATGTATATCTCAACTATACATGGAAAAACACACAACAAATGAGTAACATATATATCCTTAGATGTTGATGTGAAACTATTAAGATAACCTATTATTGCTAATTTATTCTTAAGCACAAAGTTGACTATAGATTATTTTACTTTCAACAAAAATAGATTTTTCTATTCAGCTCAATATGGTGTAGGCATTTATCACTGATCAAGATATGGCAATGGAGGAACTTTTTGGCAATATTGAGAATACTCGAAGATTTAACACCTGCTTGAATGTTATGGCAACTCGAATGGCTACAGTGTTTGCTTCATTAAAGGTATCCTAATTGCTTCTTATTTATGTATGTTTAATTCATCTCTAGTTTATAATTAACTATGCAATGCAATACTTATGAAATTGTGGCAAATCTAATGATTAGCATGATGATACAGTAGATATTTCAACTTCAAAAGCTAGTTAAGAGAAGTTAGAACATGTTAGTACAATAGGATTTTTCATTACTATGGTCTAGGTTGTGCTTTATTTCTTTATTTTATAGTTAAACAAGGTTATTATTAAAAATTATCATTATTTCTAGGCTTCTATATACCATGTAGTTATTCCTATTGCTTGGGAATGAATCCCTGCATTTTTTATCTAAGCTTTCTTCATATTATTCAGTTCTCTTTTCACATATATTTATCCTTCTTGTTCCGTGGTCTTTATTCACATTTCATGGCCTTCATTCCTAAGGCATCTCTTTATATTGTTTTGCCCTATATCAACCCAAACACATCAATATGAGTGCGTTTGACTTGTTTATCCTTCTTGTTCTATGGTAAGCTTCTAGTTTCATTGAGGTGCCATAAACTAATGTGAGGCATGCAAAAGCTTTTGTTGATTATGACATGTTTTGAAAAGTGGTACTTTGGCTAGAGAGCTAAAGTCCCTATACTATGGCGTATTCCATGAACAAGGTTGACTAGGAAGGATAGAATATAGAAAAGTTTATTTTGTTAATAAAGTTGTTGCTCATGAGCATAGATGGGCTAGAGGAGTGAGTCTGAGATGGTTAAAGAAATGTTCTCGGGTATAATTGCTGTGCTAATAAGTACAGAGAATATCTAAAGATAATAGTATTTTTCTTTTATTGGTCCTTGCGGAAGTGTTATTATAGGGTTATGTTCCTCTTAACTGACTCGAGTTTTATCTTGTGTTTATGCAAAAACCATCTTTGGGAAAGCTCCCCCTTGAGCCTAACTAAAGCTTAAGTTCAGATTAGTCGTGTGTTCAAGAACATGATAATTAAGGGTGTTCAAAGGTTTGGTTTGGTTTAGTTTTGGGCAACCCACTAATCTAACCTAATTAATTAACTCTTGATTAATTAGCTTCTATGTAGTAGTTAGAGTTGATTTAGCTCAATCGCAGCCCACACATCTAACCAAATTGTTAAGCTACAATTTAAGTCATTAAAATCTTAAATCTGTCTCTTGTTTAGTTATGTTTGCATTTACTTCTAATATCAAGGCTCACTCCTCACCTCTTAGTTCATCTAGCTCTCCCGTAAAAGAGACTATGATGATCAAGCATAAAATCCCTGTAAGTGCAAAAGTTATGATATAATTTAAAACACAATCAGATACATAAATATGATGATCAAGTTCAAAACATTGAGTCAAAGAGTACAAGTAAAGTTATTCACATTTAGGCTACACCCTATCCTAATTGAGAAATTTAACAATTCATACAAATAAAAGTTAACATCAAAGTAAGACTAAAATTTTTGGCCAGAAATAAAAGCAAGACTAAAATTCCAAATCATCACAAAAGAAAAAGAGTTCATAGAGTAGGAGGAGAATTCTTCCTTCAATACTTGAAGTGTGATTATATCTGGGGAACCTTGTGTATAATAATTGAAGAAAACCCTCAAACTTGGGCTTTATGCTGATCAAAGCTTCTAAAAAAAGAGTGATTTTACCTTCAAGACAGTTAAGATTCACAATTAATATCTATCCTATTTTTCAAACATGATTAAAAATCATGAAACATGGCCTCCAAGAAAGAGAAAATCACTATATGGGCCTTATAGAGAGCTACAAAACATCAAACAATGTAAATGTATGCAACAAAGTCCAATAAATTCATATTTAACATAACTGAAACCTAAATATTTGTATTTTACATACATAATAATATACCAATCATTTTTACCATTCTTTTGGTTGCCATAACTAATTGTGATATTTTAGCAATGTTGTTGTAATTATACTATAAGCCCTTATCTCAGTGGTTGTAGCACTGAATCTTGTTAATTATTTTACGCTTATTTTTATAAAAGATTACTTTAATTTAATGCTTCCTTGTCAATAGGAGTTACCTCGTGTGTGGTATCGTGCTGCCAAGCAAAGTGAACAATCAACAGCTCGTGATTTGGTTCCTTCCAAACTTGCTGATGCAGTTTGGGACCTAATTTCTAAATATAAAACTACTATTCCAAACTTCCCACAAGCGAAACATGCGAACTGCTCATTGTGGATAGATCTATTGATCAGGTAAGACTTTGTTTTTTAGGTGGTAATATATCAATAGTAGTTCTACTCACCATAACTCTCTCCTTTAAATTATTACGTTTTGAGAGACAAATATGTGTTGATTATGCGTGACAGATTGCTCCTATCATTCATGAATGGACCTATGATGCTATGTGTCATGATTTGTTGGTTATGGAAGGAAATAAATATACATACGAGGTAATCTGTTATTGGTTTCCTTTCCCCTATATCTCTTGGTTGTAATTTTACAATCTGAAGATTAAAAATTCAAGATAAAATGTTGCATTCTAGGTTCCTAGTAAAACAAGGGGTGATCTTGAGAAGAAAGAGGCACTCTTAGAAGAACATGATTCGGTGTGGCTTGAGATTCGCCATGCACATATAGCAGATGTATGCCTCTTTTACCTTATCTCAAGTGATTTTGGTACAAAATGTTGATGCTTTTTCACAATTGAAATACCAGGCTAGTGAAAGATTGTCAGATAAGATGGAAAACTTTGTGGCAAAAAACAAAGCTGCGCAAATTCATCAAAGTGGAAGGTTTGCATCACCGTATTTTGACTTTACTTTTGAAATATATCTTAATGTTTGATTTGCTTTGTATCCCATAATCCACACTGTACTCATGGTTTGGACCACATTGTTACCATTCACTTTGTGAAACATCTTTCTTTTAACCCCTCAGAGTAGGTGTTCAGAAGTGTTGTGGTTCAAGCAAAACATGAAACAAGCCGTAGATTAAAAATTTGCAATTGGTTCTCGAGTTACTGTACACTAGTTAAATTCCATATTTTTGATCCAATTTCAAAAAATCATAACTAATTCTATAACAATCATATTGAGATGCTCCACCTTAGATTGCTTGCTCACCCTTTGCCATTCATTTTTCTTGATGTTTCATGGACCTAAATACATCAACACATCATTTCCATTCATTCATTAGAGCCATGGTAATCAACAACATCAAAACTTTGTTTCTTTAAGCTATACTGACTTCTAACTACTGAGCTTGATTTCCAACCATTCTAAAATTAATTACACATACTATTCCCACACAATTTTTCATGTAAAATCCATTTCTAAGCTCAAAATAATCAAAATCAAACTCCTTCCCCATCAACTAGCCTTGACCGAAATATAACTCAAGTTACATAGTCATGAAATTCAACCAATTTCAACATAAAGCCACTTGATTCTTGTTCCTTTCAAACCTTTAAACATTATTCTAACATCAATTTCATCTTTCCCTATTCTTAAGAATTTCATGAAGCATGTCCTCCTAGAGTTTCAAGCTCCCAAAAATCATTAAAATGTATAACCAAGCTCAATAACAACAAGGGTAGTGAAAACTACATCAAAAAGCATAAACATACATTGTTTTAGAGCTTGATCTTGCATGGGACCACTTGGCATTTTTTTCTCCCTCTTCTTTCTCTCTCTAGAAACTATTTTGCCAAAGCTTTCCCAAGGTTTCCTCTAGTTCGGACGAAAATGAGGGAGGGGAGGGGATATTTATGGAAAATAAGACTAAATCTGGGCTGTTGATCTTAAAAATGTGTGGCTTGATCTAGACCGTCCATTTTCTCTTTTAATCTTATGGTGACAAGTGTCCTATGACATCATGCTTACATCATCATGAAGACATCATGTTTACATCATCAAGCCATATGCTTTTACATCCGACCATACACGTGTCTTGCATCCTGCTGTACACGTAATACCTTTTTGTCCCATCTGACCATACATTTGTCTCCTCCATATTCCTTCATCATTTTTGCATTAAAATAGGAAGGAAAAGTAATATAAAATTTGTGTAAAGTACAACCCTTAGGTATTCCTCCACCTATCTTGCCATTCTACACCATATAGGGTACTTTTTAGGGTCCTGATTTTCCCGGGACTATTAGGACATGTTATGGCACCATTTTCTCAGCTCAAATAAATCCACATGGCATTATATAACATGCCCAGAGAGAGAGAGTGATGCTCTTCCCTTGTTCTTCCATTAAAATAATTAATAATATTTATTTCGGAGTGATCTTGACCGCGTTCTTTCTACTGGTCCACAACTCTAAAGATTTATCTCTGGGTACCAATACTATTTATTCATCATGGGAAATTCTTCTAATTATTCTTAAGTCAAAAGTCAACCTCTCGACAATTAGCTTTAACTTTCCTTGGATAATGTATAAATAGGCTTTAAATTCTATTAAAGCCAACCTCTTTCGATTTTTGGGGACGGAATTATTTTTAAAACTAGTGATAATTCCTCAAGTATTTTTTTCTATTTTCTTCCAATTATCTGAGGCCTCCCTATACTTTAAATAATTTATTTTTGAAAATATTCCAAATCAATCAAAACCCTGGGAATTCCACCATTTCCTTTTAGGGGCATTTTCGTCATCTTTAGCCTCATACAGGCCTCTGAACCTTATTCACATTTTTCTAGAATTTTTCTGAAGTATTCAGGCCTTAACCTACCATTTCTCATTTTCTGAGATTTTTTTTTTGAGATTTTCAGACATAATTTCCATTTTTGCCCTTACTAGCCCAAAAATTTGCAAAATTACAATTTTGCCTTTGATTTGGTTTAACCTTAAAATTCACCTCATTGAGGCCTCCAACATAACTTTTGGCCTACATTTATCTCTATTTCTCATTTCTAGGTCTCGAGACTTCTTCTGAGTTTCTAACTTCTCTTTTCTCAGTCTTAGAATACTTTCCCTTTGCGATTTAGTTCCTAAGAATCATGCAGTTCTTCTAGGGAATCCCTGGGACCTCTACCAAAAAAAAGTATAGTAGCCTGCCCATTTCGAGATAATTTTAGTACTTTAGGTCTAAAATTCGGGATGTAACAATTCTCTCCCTCTCAAAAGAAATTTCGTCCTTAAAATTTCTAGGTCAAACCTTTATTCTTACCCTTAATGAGAGGTTAACTAAGGAGAATATCTCTACTTATACTCAACTTTAGCCTCTTTAGCTTTCCTTTATGCCTTATTACCAGGTTTCAATCCTGGAATCCATACTTACATTGCTTTCCCCTTTTTACTTTTCTGTCATTATACGACCATGACCTTTGCTTTTAAGTATCCTATCATTGCCGCTCACACTTTTTCTATACTTTAGGCCCATTCTTTCATAATAATACTATAGCAGTATACTTGCCTTCATGATCTTTCACTGTACCATGGCATTCTAGGTTCCTCTAACATTGCCCTTATCTGTTCTTTTCTGCATACTTTGCCTTTCTCATCTTTATCTTAAGAGCGTATCTCCTTTCTTTCACATTCTCATTTCGCATATAGCTTGCTGAATGTGTAACCTTCAAGACTTACAGCCTGTGGTTCCTTAATTCTTACTCTCCTCACTTTCCCTTGTTGAGTAGAACATAATTGAGGTCGGCCTATTCAACAATAATAGTGTCTGTGAAAAAGTCAAGGTTACTCTCTCTGTACTAAGCAACCAACCTGAGGAGGTTTCCTCATCTTCGAGTCATCCCTGGTCATCTCATTCTCACGCTCCAAAGAGATACCACCCTTATGGCTCAATAACCTTCCTTTAGGCTTGTTTACTGTGACCTTGAGAGCTACTACGCTCTACCATAAGCCTCTTCAAGATCTACTGTGACCCTGGATTTTTTCCTATTCTGCCCAAGCCATGTCTACTCTTTAGGAGCCTTTAGACCAGTGGACTGAGTCAAGGAATAAGTCACCTACCCTCAGCAGATAACTGACGGATTATTCCCTAAGACTGATCACAAATGCTAGTATCATCTTCTTAGGCCTTATTCAATCCTTTCTGTCAACTCTAGAATCATTCATCTTTCCTACCTTTCCTTTTCTCTTAACTTTTAGCTACCTCAGGCCATTTTCCTTTCATTATGCCCCTTTAATTTTCTAGGCCATTGGTTCATATCCATGGCCTTCTAGGCTTGTCATCATATCCATACCAATCTGCCATGTCTTACGATTTTCTTTTCTCATCTTACAGGGAGAGGTTTTGTAAAATCATCTCTATCTCTTCTCAAGTATTCCATCCCTTCATTACTCTTAGCCAACTTCGCTCTCATTGGAGTAAGGTTAACTCCGTGACCCTTTCCTAGGTTGCTATTACTCTTTCTATGGAAGGATGTGTTACTCACACCAAAGCATGTCAACTTAACCACTTTCCCTACCTTGATAGAGGACATAACACTTTTACAGTACGGTGTCAACTCTACCGCTCTGAAAGGACGCGTGTTACCTTCATAATGTTGTCAACCCATTGTAACTGTTTCCTTCCCTTCCCTTCAAATAATAGCTCACTCTTAGTAGAGCGGTGTCAACTCTGTGTTCCCAATTTGAGAGACATTCTATAGCCAAGACCTGCTATTACTTAATCTCTATCCCAGAACATTCTTACATGTCAAATCCCTATTAGGGGAGCCTCTTGACTTGACTCGTTCGATCATCATGGTAGTGGCATCCATTCATAAGAATCTCACCTCTTACATTTCTTACTGGCCTGAGTGCTATGGTCGTACTTCTCATTGATGCCTTAGGAACATAAAGGAAGACTCACTAGTCCCAAACGTCACTATGTGTCTAAGCATCATCAGGCTCTAGGCATCATCAGGAACTTACTTATCTCTTTCTATATATCAGCTCCCAGTACAACCACCAACTATCACATCTTTATTTATTTCTATTCACCTCTGTCCTCAAGAGAAATTTTGCCTGACTCTACTCTTTCTAACTTTCTTTACCTTCTGACCAATTATTCCTATGGTCAGGTATTGATCTTAACACTGATCACATCACACAGTGAATGTTTAATCACCTTACTATGTTGTGTCTAGGCGAGGCATCTAACTCATCATCAATTACTTAAGGTTTAGGTTGTCATCCTGCTTCCCTATTAAGGTATAGACTTCTACCCTTACTGGGCTTATTATACTCTTAGCCATTACCCTCTGGAGAAGTCTTTTGACTTTGACTCATACCCTAGTCAAGCTTTCTCAGCTCAATCATTCCTTTTCTAAGGGGAGTCTCTTAACTGTGAATGCCTATCTATTAAGTTACTTTCTGTCATTCCTTACTTCTCCTATGTGTCCATTTCCCCTGGAGAATCACCTCAATCTCATAACCTTAGTTGGACCAATACTAGTAACCCATCACTTTCCTTGATAGGGATTTCACTCATATCAGGCTTTGCTTGAACCAATGCTCTATTTATACCTTTGTCAGAGCTTTTACCAAAACCTCTGTTCTATTTAAACAATTGCCAAAACCTTTGCTATGATACCAAAATAAAACATCCTTCTTTTAACCCCTCAGAGTACACGTTTAGAAGCATTATGGTTCAAGCGATTCATAAAACAAGCCGTAGATTAAAAATTTGCAATTGGTTCTTGGGTTACTGTACACTGGTTAAATTCTAGATTTTTGGTCCAACTTCAAAAAATCATAACTAATTTTATAAAAATCATATTGAGATGCTCCAAAATTCTACTTGAAACTATTTTAATTCTCTAGAGGAGAAAAATATGAAACTAGACTTATCCTTGCCCAATTCGTATAGTTTATTCCATAAAAATCACTATTCATTTGGTCAATTCTAGATCTTCCAGATTTCTTGCCTCAATTTTGGAAATTCGTATCTCTTAGTATACACATCTAATTGAGGTGATCTACCTATCATTTTAAAGCTTGGGATGTGTATAATACATATACCAAGTTTCATGGCTCAATTCATACATTTGAAAGGTCAAACTGGAGCTAGAAGCTGACTACTCCAGGACCTATGTTTTATCAATTAGACAATTCTTACTTTAATTTTTTTTTATTGTTTTGGCACGCATAACTTGGCCTTATCCTTTCCTATTCATTCTCATACATCTCCATTCATGCCATAAACACTCTAAACAAATACATGGCACCAGTGGCATTCATATACATAATTTACATAATACGAGAATTATACATAAATCCTTAACCGTTTCTTAACATCAATAGTTTTCCACTTTCTTCTCCTTCCTTCTCATACTCTCCTTCATGCAATCATTGTGTATCATTGATTGACCTAAATAATTGGTTATGGAGGGGTGAGATTCGAAAGAATCTCAGTAGCAAACAATAACCACCCAAACATATATGGCAAGCTTGGCATTTATAATATGCTTGCAACTTAACATCGTTATATTATAATGACATGTTTGGAAATCATCATGCATTTATCATAAAACACATAGGCCTATGGAATATTTCAAACACATTAACAATCACAACACATGAGTTTATAAAATCATATAACATAGAAACATGTCATACATGCAAACAAATACCAAGCACATAAGAGTAAGGTCAAGTTTGCTACCTTGTGTCTTTAAACTTCCTCTTTACTTCCTCTTGCTCCCTTTGCTACCAACCATTAAGATTGCTTGCTCAACCTTTGTCATTCCTTTTTGTTGATGTATCATGGCCCTGAATACATCAACACGTCATTTCCATTCATTCATTAGAGCCATGGCAATACACAACATTAAAATTTTGTTTTCTTTGAGCTATACTGACTTCTAACTACTGAGCTTGATTTCCATCCTTTCTAAAATTAATTCCACATAGTATTCCCACACAATTTTTCATGTAAAATCCATTTCCAAGCTCAAAATAATCAAAATCAAACTCCTTCTCCATCAACTAGCCTTGACTAAAATATAACTCAAGTTACATAGTCATGAAATTCAACCAATTTCAACATAAAGCCACTTGATTCTTGTTCCTTTCAAGCCTTTAAACATTATTTTAACATTAATTTTATCTTCCCCGATCCTTAAAATTCGTGCAGCATGTCCTCCTAGAGTTTCAAGCTCTCAAAAATTATTAAAATCTATAACCAAACTCAATAACAACAAGGGTAGTGAAAACTACATCAAAAAGCTTGAACATACCTTGTTTTAGAGCTTGATCTTGCATGGAACCACTTGGCCTTTTTTCTCCCTCTTCTTTCTCTATCTAGAAACTATTTTGCCAGAGCTTTCCTAAGGTTTCCTCTAGGTTGGACGAAAATGAGGGAGGGGAGGGGGTATTTATAGAAAACAAAACTAAATCTGGGCTGTTGATCTTAAAAATGTGTGGTTGATCTGGACTGTCCATTTTCTCTTTTAATTTATGGTGACAAGTGTCCTATGACATCATGCTTACCTTATCATGATGACATCATATTTACATCATCAAGCCACATGCTTTTAATCCAACCATACACGTGTCTTGCATCTAACTGTACACTTGTCTTCTATCCAACCGTGCACGTAATACCTTCTTTTCCCATCTAACCGTACACTTGTCTCCTCCATATTCCTTGATCACTTTGGCATTAAAATAGGGAGAAAATTAATATAAAATTCGTGCAAAATACAACCATTAGGTATTCCTCCACCTATCTTGCCATTCTGCATCGTATAGGGTACTTTTTAGGGTCCTGACTTTCCTGGGACCACTGGGACATGTTATGACAACATTTTGTCAGCTCAAATAAATCCGCATGGCATTATATAACATGCCTAACAAGAGAGAGTGATGCTCTTCCCTTATTTTTCCATTAAAATAATTAATAATATTTATTTCGGAGTGATCTTGACCGAATTCTTTCTACTAGTCCACAACTCTAACGATCTATCTCTGGGTACCAATACTATTTATTCATCATGGGGAATTCCTTTAATTTTTCTTAAGTCAAAAGTTAGCCTCTAGACAGTTGACTTTGATTTTCCCTGGATAGTGTATAAATAAGCTTTAAATTCTATTAAAGCCAACTTCTTCGCTTTTTAGGGACGGAATTATTTTTAAAACCTGTGGTAATTCCTCAAATATTTTTCTTCATTTTCTTCCAATTATTTGAGGCCTCCCTATACTTTAAATAATTTATTTTTGAAGATATTTCAAATCAATCAAAACCATGGGAATTCCACAATTTCCTTCTAGGAGCGTTTTCATCATTTTTAGCCTCATACAAGCCTCTAAACCTTATTCCCATTTTTCTGAAGTGTTCAGGCCTTAACTTACCATCTCCTATTTTTTGGGATTTTCGGGCATAATTTTTATTTTTGCCCTTACTAGCCCAAAACTTTCCAAAATTACAATTTTGTCCCTAGTTTGGCTTAACCTCAAAATTCACCTCATTGAGGCCTCTGACATAACCTTTGGCCTACATTTATCTCTATTTCTCATTTTTGGGTCTCCAGACTTCTTCTAAGTCTCTAACTTCTTCTTTTCTCAATCCCAGAAAACTTTTCCTTTGCGATTTAGTCCCTAGGAATCCTGCTGTCCGTTCAGAGAATCTCTGGGACCTCTATCAAGAAGGATCCGGTAGCCTACCCATTTCAGGCTAATTTCAGTATTTCTAGTTTCAAAATTTGGGATGTGACACTTTTCCTATTCTGTGATTGCTAGCCATTTAATGGAAGAATGATGTGGAAGAAATTCTTATTGGTAACTTATTAACAAGAATTACAGTTATTCATACATTATAGGGGGCTTTACAAATGAATGCCTAATTGATACAGATCTCTACAATCACTTCCATCATAATTAGATTTAGAATTATATTTACAATTCGAAAATAGCTCTAGTACCATGCAGAGAGAGATCATGGAATGGTTCTCTTTTTTTCCCTGGTCCAACAGTTGCAGAATTATGATCAGGAGTTGTTGATCTGTATCAGGATCATATCTTATACTATCTATCCCTTCAATGAATATTAATACTGTAGTATCTTCTTGATTTACCACAACAATGTAATTGCTTGGTTTTTCATACGAACGAGGCAATATATGCACAGAGTAGGAGCCTATATGATAATGGCTCATTATCCTAATCCTTGTAACTATACTTTCACTATAATCAAGCATATTATGATTATAATATCTCACTATAAATGAAAAATATTTTCTCTTGTAATAGTCCCGGATTTTGTGACTGAAGGACAATAATTCTGCCCTTTTTCTCGAATATTTTAACATAATAGGTTTTAATTACATTTAAGATAGATAGCAGGTCCATGAAGGACCCTTAGATCAATAGGCAGTTAGTCATTTGACTATATTCTTTTGACATAACCCTAATCTAGAAATTTGTACTTTCAGAGATGGTAGTGAATTATCCACACGAGATTTGCAGAAAATGGTCCAAGCCTTGCCTGAATACACCCAGAAAATGGAAAAGATTTCTCTCCACGTAGAGGTGACTTGCTTTTTGTGTTCACAGCCATGCTAACTCAAAATTAATTAACAAAAAAATAAAAGAAATGATATATCAATATCATTCTGCTTTGATAACTTTGTTATAGATAGCTGGAAAGATCAACAAAATCATTAGAGAAACAGGCTTCGAGATCTTGGACAGTTGGAGCAAGATCTTGTTTTTGGAGATGCCGGAGCCAAAGAAGTTATTAGCTTTCTAAGAACAAATCAGGTTTCATATTGGGGGCATGTGTCCCAGTAGCTTATTATCAATTGCTTAATTAATTCAGAATTTAATATTTCGTATTAATATATGTGCCAAAAACAGGATGCACCAGTCGAAAATAAGTTGCGTTTATTAATGATTTATGCAATTGTCTATCCTGAAAAGTTTGAGGGAGATAAAGCTACCAAGTTGATGCAGGTGATTCTTGACTTCTATGTATTTTACTTGACCACCAAATTCCAATTGTTTCATTTCTCAACATAAATATCAATGCACAGGAGGCCACCTATGTGTCCTGTATACGTACATATGCAATTTTCAAATATCTTTGTCAAACAATATTTACTCATTCAATATTCTATAGCCTTTAGCTCCTAAATTTGAAATACAGGATTTTTAATACTTTTATGATCAGATTGGTATTGTTTTGAAAACTCACTTGAAAAAGAATTACTATCATCTTAATTTGGCTCTCTACACTTTCATGACTCCTTTAGAAGTGACTGGTGTAAAATATTCATGTGTCCATATAATGCGGTTTAGTTTATATTCATGAATGCTTGCATATATGACAAAATAGGTCGCCTTTCAACTTAAAATATGTTCAATTTTTTTTTTTTAAAAAAACCAGCTGATGATTTCCCTAGCCTTCAGCATTGTTTTCCGTTACAGCATTAACATTAATAATGTTAGAAAGAAAGAAAGAAATCTAGTAAGCAAGGATGATAAGATTGCCTTCTTTTATCTATGCAGTTGGCAAAACTATCACCTATTGACATGAAGGCAATTAGTAATATGCAAATGCTGGCCGGATCATCGGACAAGAAGGCATCTAGTAGTGATTTTTCACTCAAGTTCAGTAACCAGAAGGTAAAATATTTTTTATATATTATTAAAACCAACAACAAACCACACTGTTCAAGAACTGTGAATAGCTTGGCTTGTTATACGAGGCTTTGTGTGATGGAAATGCCGTCCCTCTTGTGTATATATATAGATGTGTGTGTGTGTGTGTTTTCCATGCTCATGGAAGTCAAGTACAGACTGGTTAACTAGGAATTTCAACAAAATGTTAGTAAAACTCAAGTTCGCATAAAGTAGAAGAATTGCTAATTTCTTCTATTAAATGCTTTTCAACTATTTAGCAAATAGTTTGTCTTCTATTACAAGATGCTCCCTTGCATGCACTGTATTCTCGCTCTTCTTTCTATTCAATTGATAACATACTGCATTAAGTTTTGAACTGTGTGCATATATATTTTTTTTTATACATCAGAAAAAGAATGCAGCACGGAAAGATCGTACTGATGAAGAGGAAACATGGCAACTATTTCGATTTTACCCCATGTTAGAGGTATGGCCATGGCCCACCAATCCACATTTAGTTCGAGCACTGCTTCTGGCTGATAGAAGAACGTAGGCCATTGAAGGTTTAGCCTGTCGTCACCGTTATAATGGAACAAATGTGACCTTAATCATATTAGAAATAAATACTCAAAGTATGAATCCATAAAATAACATTTGGTTTTGTTGCCTATTAACATAAATAACTTAGATAAGTGTTATAAATAAATAAACAAATAAAGACATTCAAGTCTAAGAATTATTTCATGTTAAATGTGATTACTGACGTATGGCATAAAGTTTTTTCACCGTGAAAAACAGTATTGAGCTCCAAGTAATCTCTTATTGACTTGGTCCACTCTGTGATCATGCAAGCTTCTCTGTGTTTGTGTTATTCTCTTTCACCAAGTTAGTATGTTTTGGAAAAACTTGAGTATCAGATCAGGTCTATTTATTGCTAAAACTTCTACTTCAGATCGGCTTTCATCTAGTTGTGTGTGTGGCGAGAAAAACTCTTAAAAACGTTTAAAAAAAAAACTCTTAAAACCTTTTGCTTATGAAAATAATCCGTATGAGTTACATCATATTAGGTACACTTTTCTGACTTAATATTATATTGTAAAATGCAAAGTTAATTTGCCCATGCTTTGGTAGGAACTTCTTGAAAATCTAAGCAAGGGTGAGTTACCAAAAAGTGACTATTCATGTAAAAATCAACCAACTCCCCCAACTCAAGTAAGCACTAGAGGTGGGGAACGGACACAGGGAACTGCTAATAGTAATCCACATTCAATTAGATCAAGACGAACAGCCAACTGGGGGCGATCACGTCATTCAGATGATGGATATTCAAGGTGACTCTTTGTTGTTTTTTGTTTTTAATTCTCGTAGTAATATTTGATGTTTTGCCCAAATAAATATTTGTTGTCTAAGGAGTTTTTTGGGGTCCATTTGGTTACTGGGAAGCGGATGGCATAAAGAAAAAGAATGAGTCTCACAACCTATATGGATATTAAGTATGATAAAGAGGTATAAATGTTTTTTCAAATTTTATAAATTCAATTATATATTAAAAAAAGATGAAAGAAGAAATGAGTTGCAAAAGAAACAAAAATACCTCTAAAAAATTGAACGAATTAGAATTTAAATTTTTAAATAATGTTTTCTCATGAAACAATCAAAAATCACTTTTGAGAAGGCAGTTGACAAGAAAGCAATAGAAAAGAATCTTGCAACTCATAATTGTACATACTATAATAAAGTTTTTATACCTTTGGTTATAAGAAAAAAGAAAAAAAGAAAGAATTAGAAATTGATTATTAAAAAAAAAGAAGAAAAAAACTCTTAAAAGTGAATGATGTAGAAGCTTAATTTATGAATTATGTTTTTTTTTCTATAAAACAATGATAACCTTACTTTGCCAAATTAACAATTTTTTGTCGCAAGTATGTCATTTTATCAGGGAAATGAACAATAACCCTTCCCAACTTTATAAACAGCTTGGGTGAATGGAAACATCATTTGCTTTCCACAGGGTTCATTTTTAGCAACCAAGTAGGCTTTGACACTCCTTAACATTGATCTAGTTTATTCAAGATTTTACTACAAGTCTCTTTGCAGAAGGGACTCTAGAGTTGTAGAGAAAAGGGAAACTGAGGGAAAGAGAGGAGAAGGAAAATCCAGAGAGAAACAGAGAGAGAATGGAGAAAGAGAGAGAGGTGGAGCTAAATATGCACTTCTACTAGAGAATCAACATAACAGAATACAATTACCAATTAGTCTTACGTTTATATACTGGGAATAACAGTTACTAACGGCTACTTCTAACTAACCCCGTAACTAGCTTTATTGACAAATACATATCGGATTCAATATCCTTACACATACACAAACTAAGTTACACTTACAAGTGTTTTTTCCCGTTCAACTTATTTCTTTTTCTTTCCTTGCATAGTGATTCTACGCTGAAGAATATTGATACTGATTTCAAGAAGATGGGGAAGCGCATCTTTGTCTTTATCATTGGTGGAGCAACCCGATCTGAGGTAAATGTTTTCATCAAGATACGACTTGATATGTTACACTTGGAATATGAACTAATATATCAAAGTTTCTGTATCTTTTAGCTTCGAGTTTGCCATAAAATGACATCAAAGCTCAAGAGGGAGGTCATCCTAGGTTCTTCTTCCATTATTGACCCTCCTGAATATATCACGGTAACCCTTCCCTATTTATTCTACTACTTTCATAGGATAGTAACTAAAGAGCTATATGTTTTCATGATTGCAGTTTTATATGTAGTGTGTTTGATTACCTCTGTAATTCACTAGTCAAATTGTTATACTAGTTAGTTGTTCACTTTTCTTTTGAATGAATAAAGCCAAGTTTTTCTCTTCAAATGGATGCTTATCACAGTAGTATTAGTAAACCCATTCATATTTTTATTGCTATAATAGTTATGAATTCACACTATTACATTTTCTGGTGTTTGTTCATCAAGAGTTCTTGTTGGAAAGCTATCTCCTTATTTTTTGGTCATCTTAAAAAGTTCAGTGACCATGTTAAAAACGTGAAATACCTAATTTGATCATTCACAACATGCTTTCTGTTGAAAAACTATCCTCTTACTTTGGTTGTCTTAAAAGGTTTAGCGGCCATGTAAAAAACCTGAAGGAGCTAATTTGATCACTGACAACATGGAGAGAACCACAGACCAAAACAGTATTATACATCGAAAAGATTTTTATGGGTATGAAAACCACAATTTATAATAAAATATAACATTATGAAGCACGGTTAAAACTATATATTATGGAGAGTTGTTTATATTGCTTGCAAGGTATGTTTGAGTTCATACATTAAACAAAGCATTCCTTTAAAAAAAAAATTACCAATAAGAATCTCAGCTTGCAAGAATATGGGAACTCAGCTTGAACAGCTTCAAGCATAATATGGGAACTGAATGCATCTCTCATTTGGTTAAAAACATAATGGAAATCATAATGGCCAGAGACAATTTTAATCTTGATAAGGAAATATTAGAAATTATTAGCTAGACAATTTTAGCAATTTTATGAATGTCACGTTAAGTTGTTGCTTTAGATTCTCGTTTTTTTTTTTCTGTTTTTTAGTTGATTTTGTCAATTTAGTTAAGAAAATACTGTGAAAAAAATTAATAGAAGTTACTAACTAATTGGCGTTTAATATATTGTCTCTGCATTTTACATTGTACTCGAAAAAATTGCAGAAAATTAAGTTTTTGTTTTGATACTTTTTATTTATTTCTTTCCATTTTTTGGTGGGTGGAATTCTGCAGAAGTTGAAATTATTGTGCGAAGACCAAGTGGCATTGGATGGCCTCGGAATCTAAATTGGTTATGACGAAATTTTGTAAACCATATTTATTACCATTATATATTATATAAGGCAGTTTTCGTCCTTTTTATGTTAATATATGCCCTCTTGAAATGAGAACGAAGGGCCCTTTTCTTCTCTTCAAAAAAACTTTTGTTGTGGTCATTTGTTTTGTAATGCTTTTGCTCTGAAGCGTGCACGAGCACAATCTCTTGTATAACTTTGTTCTGGATCCCAAGGGTCTGGTTGTATAACTCAAACTGATGTTATTTATTTTTCCATGTTATCATTTCTTGGTAGTAACCTTTATTTTACCTTTATTTCTGTTTTACTTGTGATTATATATTAATGGGGTTTTGGTTTTGGACCAAATCTATTATTTTAGAAAGAGTTAAAGTATATGTTTGCTGCTTTAGATTTATTTTAAATTTCAGTTTATCCCCCCTATGATTTTTTTGGCCAAAAAACATCTCAATGTAAGTTTAATTGTGAAATGTCATGCAATCCAAACCATTCCCAACTCATAGGAATTCATACCAAATATCATGCAAGGAGAGGAACATCATATTATCCACATTGACATACCACAAAGCATGGCCAATGTCAATCAAACAATTAATATCATCACAAAATTCCTCCAATCCAAGCAACAACATTCACAACAAACAAGTAAGATAAACAATCAAATTATAATTCAAAGCTACCTTTGCAAAGCTTGTCCAATTAATTCCTCCAAGGAGCAATGCTTCTCCTTAATTCCTTCTCTTAATGCCTCTTAAACCAACCATGATCATAGGCTACATTAATCACAAAACAACTTAATTCCAATATTTAAACATTCACTCAACAATTTCCCCCCTTTTTCTTTGATTTTTAACAAATTGATTCCTTCTTTAGAATCAATCATCTCATGACTCAATCCTACACAATTTTTCATGAGGAATCCAATGGTGTAATCATATTTTTAAAAATCACACTCCTTCCCCATGAACTCCTCTTGGCCGAATAGGGGGTATTTATTTTCCAAAAATTCTATTTTTGATTCTAATAATTTTAAACACTATCCAACAACATATCCCTACACAAAAACATGTTTTAAAGCCATTGGAATCATCAAATCAAGCAAAATCCATTAGCTCCTGCATGAACAGTGCTGGCTGAAAATTTCCCTTTGAACCCTAACCTTGATTTCATCCAAAAATCAATCCATACACCACTTAATCTTCTTTATTCCACTTGATTATTAAGATTTCTATCCTTTCCTAAGCACTACACAACTCAACCAAAATTTTCAAAATTTTCTAGTATTTTTCCAGCATTTTCCCAAGCAAAAATCCTTATTTAATCAATGTAAAACTTAGGGATAGTGATGCTTGGACATACCTTAGTGTTTTCTTGAAGTAAGTTGGATGATTTCTTGCCTAAAACTCATCAAGAATTTTGTGCAACAGGGCTAGATGAACAGTGACAGAGTTTCCCCTTATTTTTTCCAATTTTCCAACATTTTCTTTGTATTTTCATGGGGTATTTATAGACCAAAAATTCTGCCACTCCCCCCCCCCAATTAGCACGCCCAAATAATAGATAAGGAAGTGTGTTGGTAGCCATCAAGTGTGGGAATTGATCAGATTTGAACGTGTGGCTATAAACTAGATTTTTCCAACCAAATATCTCTTAATTTTTGCATTTTTCTTTAATTAATTGAAGCCTCCAGATTTTGCACGAAATTGGGCCCTTATTGGGCTCAATATGGGCCCCACAAATGGTTTGGACTGGTCCAAAAAGATTGTCCACCAACCAAATCACTATCTCAAACCAATTAGAAACTTTATCGGCTACTATTCACTAGTAACATTCTATAATTTTTTCAGACCTCCAAAAATTTATTTCTCTCTGTGATAATTCACCTTTTAATATGAGAATATGATCTGAAAATTTTCAGAATTTTTGCTACCTCTAGGTATTTATTTTGAATTTTCTCTGATTAGGCCTTTATCGGTAGTTCTAAGGGAAAATAAATTCCCTAAAATTAATTCTTGAGCTTCCAAGGCCTAAAACTAATTTTATAAATCCAAATAAATATTTAGATGATTTATCCATAAATCTCCCAAATTTATTGGGGCCTCTAACTAATTAAAATAATTATTTTCCTTCAATTTCTCAATAATTTCTTGAAAAACCTCCGTTACGGGAAATTCCGTAATAATTCATTTTCACTAAATTTCCACCTTTCGGGCCTCAACCAAGTTTCCAAAATCTCTATTCTACACTTTTCCCATTTTTGGAGATTTTCTGGAATTTTTCTCAAATTTTCTCGTTTTGCCCTTCCTAGACTGATAATTACGGAAATGCCCGCCTGAACCTTTTTCGGGTTCCATATCAAAAGTTATTTCATCTCCCCATCTAGTTCCTACATTGAACCTCATCCCAATTTTTGATCTTTTATTGCCAGATGAAAATTTTGGGATGTGACAATTTGATTCGACTGTGTCGTTATGCCTTGGGATCGAATGCAATAATAAATCCAAGCATGCGATATAGTGCAAAACTCAGGTCCTTTCACTTTTGGAAGCCTTAATTGATGACCTAAACTAGCTAAATGCAATGAAAACATGTAATTGAAGAGGGGGTTTTGGGTTTTTAAGATTAAAACTAAATTATGACTAAACCAAATGCAATAAAAATAAACCCAAGCTACTGTATTTTTGGTATTTTTGATAAGATGATGATGGAATGGAAATGGATGATAGGAAATCTCTTGAAAATGGTTTTAATGGTAATCATAGTTTACTTAAGATATTGGGAGTTTCATAAATCATTAGGTTTTCTTGAATAACAACCTCAATTACCCATTGAGTCCAGTGTTTAAATCAATGAACTTCATTAATGAAAACACTGTTAAGCTCTCTTAATGTGCAATTCGAGAATGATCAATGCAATTGGTTCAACGCAACCTAACATCAACTCAATATCAAAACACAACCATGTAGGATAAAGGAGAATCAATAGGATTACACGAAACATATATGCAACCACATATATTGAAGCACAGAATTCAACATTAACCAATCCAAACTACAATTATAAATCATCAAACAATGATTACAGCAGCAATCCAAGTGTCTAACTAAGAATTACAACTCCTAAACCTAGGAATTCATAAGAACATAGCTAAAAACTACAGATTCAAACTAAAAATCCCCTTTGAAACTTGGAAACTCATGCCACTCCACCATCTTTCAAGAGTTGGAAAACCCTAGCCCACCATAGCCTTGGAAACAGCCCTAACAAGAGTGGAATCTTTAGCCATAATGTAACATCCCAATTTTTGGGCCGAAAAGTATCAGAAATAGCTTGAATTGGATGGGCTACAGACCCCTATTAGCAGAGGCCCCAAAGACGAGAAAGGAAGTTAAAGTAGTTTTAGGGACTAAACTGCAAAGTGAAAGTTTTAAAGGGCTAAAGTGTAATCAAAGTTAGAGGCCCAAGTAAAGTCTTGAAGGCCCAAAAAGAGAAAAGAGGCTAGATACAGGCCAAGGGTTAAGTTAGAAACCTCAAAGAGAGGACTGTATAAAGTTAAGTCCAAGCAGGGGCTAAACCGTAAATTTAGAAAGTTATAACCAACAGGGGTAAAAATGAAAGAGTATACAAAGAATTCCAAAAAAATCCCAAAAAATAGGAAATAATATTCTAAGACTCTTCTGTGAAGAGAAATGATGAAAATACCCCTAAGACAGCTTAAATGGAATTTATAAGGTTATGGCTGATAGAAAGTACATCGTTTGAGGTAATTATTTAAAATAGAAAGAGACCTAAAAAATATACACAAAAATGAGGTTAAATGGTTGAAAGGTTGTACTAATTTATAAAATTAGTCCCGCAACCAAAAGGCCAGTGGAATGGCTTTAATAAATTAAAAACCCGATGATGCTTGTACAAGGGTATTTTAGTAAATGAATTTTATGTAAGGCTTAAAGGAAGTGTTATGGCCTGAGAAAATTCATAGATATTCTCAAGAATTAAACAGAATTTATGGACTAGATAGAAGAATTTTCTGAGCTCTGAAAAGCCATAAAGAAAGTCAGAGAAATGTGAGCCAAGTAAAATAAGAGGAAACTTAGGGAACAAGTTTTGATCTATTGGCTATGATCTAATCTCCTTTCTCCTCCACCATATTTGTGACACTTGGCACCTTTTAAAAGAATGAGGTAAGGATGATGCAAGAAGATGATGCAATGATGATGTAAAAGTCAACTTAAAGTTCCAAGATTGCCCTTACTCTTTCTATTAGTCACCAAGGGCATTTTAGTCCATTCAAACCAAAGTTTTGGCTATAAATACCCACCTTCGAAGAGCATTTTGGTAGCTATTTGTAGAGAGAAAACTCTGTCAAAATTTAGAGAGAAAAACGTAGGGGTGAAGGCCAAGAAGAAGGAACAAGATTCAAGCTTTAAGATCAAGGTATGTGATGGTTGTAGCATCTGACTTGATCCCTATTTCGGATAAGTTACTCTTTGTATCTGATTTTAAAATTTGGTATGATTAAAGTAAACTCTATAAGCTTTAAATCCATGGGTATAACACTTCATTTGGATATGTGTACGATTTATGGTGATTTTTTAAAGTTAGGGTTTGAAATCTGGAAACAGTGTTTAACCTTTGAAAGAGTGGTGAATTCCGTACAATTTTGGTACTGTTCAGTATAGAATTGGTTCCTAAAACTATTTTTATTTTAAAGAGAAATTAAGGATTTTCAGGGAGACTTGGAACCACTCAGTTTTGATTTTTCTAAAATTAATTATGAATTTTCAAAGTTGAGCAAAAATTCTAGAATTTCTATGTGAACAATACCTGTGAAGCAAAATTTTCAGATTTGATCTTCTTGAATCTAAGACGATCTAAAGTGGTCCTAATTGATGAGAAATAGATCTTAAGGATGGGAAATGATGATATTTATGTTAGAAAAGCTAGAAAGAAAACTTTAAAACCCAGAGAAAGGGTTGAGGGTCAAGAGAG